TATAATGCATTATCTCGCTCGTCCTCGCGATGCTATTATGCCTCGTTAACGTAAAGATAGGTGTCTCTATCGGCGATGAACACACCGACTGTTTTAGAAATCGGTAGTCGTCTAGGCCTCTATAACCGCCACTTCGTCGCTAAGGTCTAGGGATTTTAGTAGAGATAAATCATAGTAGTATATAAAATTGCTAATAGGTAGATATATATAAAGTAATCATTAGGGGCGATTGCCTTTTATAAGGACCTATAATCTATATAAAGAATAGGTACTACGTCGTTTACGCCTATAGAACAAGTTCTCTAAAAACACGTCTGAATTAACTTAAATAGATAGCAAATTATCCTTATCGACAACCACCTACCTAATCGTTAAGTCTATATATAATAGAAAACTTAAATAGCGAGAAAAACGTAAGGGTATCTATAGTTATACTAAAATAAGAATAAAAAGTATATAAATAATTTATTATATATAGCATTACTCTTAGGGCGGACACTTAACTATACCCCTATTAGTATAAGTTATACTCCGTCGCTACTTAGTTACCGTAACTACGTACTAATATTGACTGATTCTAACCTCTATAATGCTCGCTATTTCTAGTCGTCCCGACCATTTTCTAACTCCTTAGTATACTTGCCTACACTAGCCAATTAAGTTGTGCCACACACCTATACTAAAAAGGGGCTTAGGGACGGCCTAGGTCTAACGAAACGAGGCTTTAAAATCCTAGACTATAGGTTCGTGCCGTAAGTTAATTTAATATTAGTGATATCTATTAGAGAACTCTAATATACGAGTAAAGCTAAGACCGTTAGACATACTACTCGTAGGGGCTGTCGTGCTCCTAATTATTAACTATAATATTTAGTAGTTATCTCCGCTAGAGGCGCGAGTTTCCTGCCCTTAAGCTAACGTCTTATTATCTCTATGTCTATAATTCTCGTCGTCCGCGTCCCGCGCTATATAAATTCTACTTCGCTACACTAGATTATAACCTACACTACCTTCACACTTCCCGTAAATCCTCGGCGACTATAGAAAAATAGGGTAAGTGGCTTATAAGGAAGTTAGGATATTATATCTATAGTCGGCTCGTATCGGGTTTTTAACACTTTATAGTTAAGCCCTATATTTATGTCGCTACGTCTTCTAGTTAGTACCCCTAAAGAGTAGCGAGTTAAGATAAGCAAGCACTAAACCTATAGACAGACGTGGAATGTTTAATTAAAGGATAAGATATATCGAGTACCCTAAGCAATGTTACTTAGGCCTATTTAGTGTTACTCCTCAATCCCTGCTTCGCAATCGCCATTTCTAGTATCCTCGCCCCGCAATATACCGCATAAGTCATGCTTAATTTAAATCCGGCGACCTCTCCCCCTCCTTTCGATTCCCTTATTTCTCTATAACACGTTGACTATATAGGATCCCCCCCTCTTTTAAGTTCCTTCTAAGTGTATAACCATAGGGGAATGCAGGACCTTCCACTAAGCGGTCTATAAATCGAGTAACTATATATAGTTAAAACCGATGCTATAATGTGATTTAAGTTCCTATCGATATGTCCTTAGTTAGTCTCTACTAGACGGCGATCTTGTGTTTAAGGAGAAGATAGGTCTAGGAAATCTTGTGCCATATCTATTGCATGTAGGTAGGTCTCACAGTCTGGGCCGGGGATCTATTATCTCTAGATCTAGAGCTGGTGCGTCTATAGCTAAGGGGATCCACCGGCTCTAGATCTAGGGATGGTAGGTCCGGGGGCTAAGGGTATATGTATCTATCACTAGCTCTAGATCTTAGTGGCACGGGGCCTAGATCCATTATCTCTAGATATAGAGATAGTGGGCCTACTAAACGCTTATGCGTCTAACTACGTTAAGAATGCGGTTAGTGAATCTATATACCCGTCTGCGTATTTAGGGTTTTGTTAAATTAATTGCCATTAATTAGTATATATATAATTGTCGCCGTCGTACAAAAGGTAAGGGGCACTAAAGAAGTTCAATGTTTAGTGGCCTATACGAGATATCGGGCCTATCTAGTAGGAGAACTGTTTATTACCTATAGACCGGATATCAGCCGCGTAAGCAAGGCAAATAGAAGTCGCATTTAAGAGATAGGTATCCTTAACTTTCACTAGCAGCCGCCGGCTTCTTATAAGTCCCGGCATAGCTTAATAGGTCTTAAAGACTATATTTCCCGTAATGAACTATACCCGTGTTTATAATTTTAAACACTAAATTTTCGCACGAAACTCTTAGTAGACTATTTAGTGTAAGCCTTATATCTATAATTATTCTCTTAAATATATATCTTAACTCTAAGAAGTCTAACTTAGAAGAATATATATAGAAAACCCACACATTATCATTAGTTGCTAGATACTAATGAGTTTAAGAAAGACGGAACTCGAAATATTTATAGGGGAATGTAGTGTATAAGCCATTATATAATATATTTTATAGAGGAGACAACTAAGTCTAGTTAGATTCCTTACTTCCTTTATTTTTCTAAACATTAAAGCTCGGATTAAGATCTAGGGCCGCTAGATTACTCTTACCGCCGTGGCGTTTATCGCTATTTCTATATTCGAAATCGTGTATTTCTACTTTAGCTAGTATAGAACACTCACTAAACGGAAAATTATCTACCTTTTTTCTTTCCTTACTATTCGAAGCTTAGTATTATTTATCCTAATTATCCCCTCTCGAAACGGAAAACCTTACTAAAAGCCCTTTAAACTCCTCTCATTATATACATAAAAGACCGCGTATAGGTGTCCCGGCATAGTTCTTATTAGTTGCTATCGGGGGTTTAGAGATATGTCTATAACAGTTTATAGCTATAAGTATTCCCTAGGGCTATATATCTTCAAATACTCCTATTTTCTACTTTTATAATTCTTTAAATGGCTAGGGGTCTTGCGTTCGATAATTCTATAGGTAGTGGCGTAGAGAAATCTCGCGGGAACGAGCCTTCGCTTCGACAACGAGACAATATAAGTCCACCCCCGGTCGAGCGTGGCAGGGGTAGCTATATATATTTTAGCGTCACTCGAGGGCCATATATACATATATATACTCTATACCTTACCTTAACCGGCCTATCCCTATACGATGTGATTAAACTTTTTTTTTAAACTATTAATCGCTAGTAGGTATATATATATATTGAAAGTCTTCTTAGATATATAACTTCGTCTTTATTACTTCCCGTTCGCGTAGAACTTTATCTAATTTACGAATAATTCTAAGTGTACGTAATTCAATATATCTTATAAAAAAAATATAGCTATTAAATATATCACGCTAAACTAAAACCCAAGGTTCGTTAACAAGCGACTCGCCGAACCGTCTTCGCTAAAACAATAATACTAGAAGTATCGTGCGCCACCTCTACCTAAATGTTAGTTACTTTCATTAAAAAATTCAAAGGGAACGACCCACTCTTAGGGTATAAGGTTTCTAAATTTTCTTTTTAAGCGTTGTGCCGTATCGTAAGAGACGCATTTACTAAGTATCCAAGCACCGTAAATTTTATAAGTTATACCGATATTATTAAGTTAATACCTATAGTGCCCGCAGAATATAATTAAGTATAGAAACATTATCTAAGAGATAGGATTCTTATAAACACATTGCGAGAGCTCTATAAAGCCGGTAACTAGGAGTATAGGTTAGTTAATAGAAGTAGAGGGCATACATATACATAAGGTCTTTATAAACTAGAGCCGGGGAATATCTCTAATAGCTTAATAGTCGTTTGTCTAATTGTATTTCGGGTACTTCTATGCCTATCTTTCCGAAATCAAATAAATAGGCAGTAATAGCTATTACAATTTCCTTCATGTATGCTATAAAGTGGCGGAGCATACCTTCAACAATAGACTTATGTGGTCACTATAGCTAACAGAACGGTGTAGGGAATAGTGAGCTAATAGGATCAATCTTCTATTCCTATTTCTTCTACTCTCTATATGTGTATATACGTAATGTTAGTGATATCGAAAAGATAGATATATAATAAGGGGATATACGCGCATTAGACTCGGACTATAATGGGCTATACTCGTAAAGCAATGGCTATATATATATATAGATCTAGAGAAAGTGGGGCTAGTATATATATATACATTTCTACGCCCTATATATAGCCGCGCTAATATATATCTCGTTAGAGGAGAATACCCGCCGAGATACGAGCTTCTCTAGAGTATGTCTTTAAATACGAAGACGACGTAGTGAAACTAGCTACGTCTCGGCCTATACACGCCTCCTGCGACCATCCCGTACTAGCTATCACTAACACGCTATTGGCTGAATCGATCGACTCGCTATACTGATTTTAGCTAGGCTAGATCGGCTTAGACGATAATTAGGTCCGACCATAATGGATTTAGAGCCGATATACTCTATCTTGTTTTATAGATAGACTTAGTGTAGTACGATTCTAAGTCGCTATTCTTCTAGAGGCGCGAGGCGATAGTAGGATAATAAACTTAGAAAGAGGAAATAAGGCGGCAACCTATCCGTCTTACCCGAATTTTACGATAGTTTAGGTAGGCCGCCCCTAGATTGCGGTATACCCTTCCCACGTCGATCTAACTAAACTAGACCGTTATCGAAAGGATATTTTATATTCTCTATTCGGCGAATGAAGTAGAGTTTCCCTAGGCAACGGCCAATCCCTATATACTCTCGGCATTAGTGACCGCTCTATAATTCTCTAAGTATAAAAAGCCCGTTATATTCCCTCCTTCGGGTACTTAATCTTTTTATCTTTCTTTAACACTACTACTACTTCTATCTTCAATTTTTTTAACGCGTAAGGCTATAATACAAGGATGTCCACTAATATAGGTATGATTTGCTACCCCCGATACTACATTACACCAAGCCCCGCGAGCTAACTAAACAAAGCTTCCATAGAACTAGGCGTTCTTACGGATTTCTAGTTAAAGGAGCCTGCTATCGTTGTTATTACACTCTATAAGGCTTTCCTTCCCTACAATCACTCTACCGCGAGTGTCGCCGCTCGCCTCGATTGCAATAAGGTATAAGTCCCTACTAACCCGATTAATAGTGACTCCACTAACCCTAAGTGGAACGGGGCAAAATATAAATTTAACGTTACCCGCACGGGCGAGCTTGCTATTCATCTTTTCAAGCTAAATCCCTATAATAACGTATCGCTTGGGATCGCTCGCATTAAGCTCGAATTCCAAGACCAAGCGTCTATCACTGCCTACGTCGAGGGTACCGCCAAGAGAACCGGTAAAATCATGCTAGGCCTTAAATATATGCCGGCATAGGAATCACTAAAGATAGAAGACTTCGATCTTCTCGAAGAGGTAGACTGTAGCACTTTTTCTAAAGTAATTTAAGTACTTAAGAAGGATATAAGTAGGGTCTACGCACTCAAGAAGACTATAAAGATCTATAAGGAGAAGAGCTTCTAGGAATAGCATCATGCTAAGGTCTTGGCCCTTACGCACATGGACCACCCCTTCATTATTCCGCCCATGTTCCACCTTAAGTCGTCTAAAGACTACTACTATATACTGCCTTTTCTCTACGGTGCTACCCTTTAGCACCTTTTTGCGCGGGGGAAATCTATTAACGTTAACGATTCGCGCTTCTATATAGCCGAGATCGTGTGCGCACTAGAAGCCTTATACGGCTCGGGTTTTGTTTACTATAACCTTAAGCTGGAGAACGTCCTGCTCAACTACTAGGGTTACGTTATTCTATACGATTTCGACGCCTACTAGCGTATCGGCACGGCCAATTATATTTCATTTATAGCACTCTAGATTATATGGCTCCCGAGTTTTATACTAGCGCGGGATACAATCGCTCCGTGGATTTATAGGCTCTCGGTATTATTTTTTACGAAATGCTTATAGGCAACACGCCTTTTAATAATAAAGACACCCCGACACTAATCTATAAGATTAAGACGAAGCCTCTAGATTTTCCTAGCGTTATTCCTCTCGATGCTTAGAACCTCTTAACTCGACTGATTAATCGTTGCCCGAATGATCGCCTAGGGATCGCCGATATTAAGGCTTATTATTTTTTTAACGGATTAGACTAGGAGAGGCTACTTTAGCGTAAATACGAGCCTCTATTTCGATTCGATGTAGTTTATCTTCCCTCACGCTATACTTACTAATCTAACGAGCTAAGTCATTTTATAGGTAGATGCCCTAGATATATCTTTTTTTTAGTATTGAGTTAGGTAGTATATCGTGAGGAAACCGTAGTTATTATAAGTCTATTATAATTTCTTTAACTCCTTTATCTTTACCTATATATCGAGGAATATTCGAGTATTTTAATACTATACTTCCTAAACCCTAGATCAATACCCTAACTACTATGTCTCTCTACCTCCGTTAGCCGGTTGCACTCGCGGGGCGTTTTTGGCTTCTCTGCCCTATCACTACGAGTACGGAGTTGCTATAGGTGGAACGTGTAACGTCGCCGACCTTTAGAATTATATTTATACCCCTCTAAAAACCACTAACTTCCTATCGTGGCTATATATTACGGCCCGTTATGCGACCTTCACGTATACCCTATAGTTTTCTTACTTATCACTGCCTTTCCTACTTACATACAATAAGAGCGATTACCTTAATTACCTAGCGATCGTAATGATCACTCCTTACGATTATTGCATCCCCTTAGCGATCGCCTAGTATATAGTTAACCTCATTTCTATAGCCTAGTCACTCTTTACCTAGCTATCAATATAATAGTCAACGCTTCTTTTAGAACC